CCCTCCCACTCCAAGGCCCTCCCCCCCGCCAGACCCTCCCACTCCCAGGCCCTCCCCGACTGCCAGTCCCCCCACTCTCAGGCCCTCCCCTACTGTCAGACACCCCACTCGGGCCCTCCCCCACTGTCAGAGTCCCCATTCCCAGAGTCCTCCCATATTTTCCTCTCCTATGGTGAAAGCTTTCCTGCATTAACTTGGTGATGCTATGGGCTGGATGTTGCCACCCCCAGGCAGTCTACCAAGACCACCCTGGCCAGCTCGGCTCACACAGGGCCATCCCAGCACATGCACCTGTCATCTGGGTGCCATCCTGTCTGGCTGTTCCCACCATGGGCAGAGGTCAGCCCCATGACCCCAGGTGACCCTTGAGTGCCACGTTACGGCCCCACTCCGGGAGACACCGAAGCCAGATGCCAGGCTGGGCTGCACATCCCAGCTGGGGCTGCCAGGGAGGTGCAGGGACCCCAGATCCTCACAGTCTGGCCTGGCTGGTTCTGGTCAGGCAGGTCTCTGTGGCTGGCCAATGTGGGGCTGTCCTCTGGAGGTGGCCAGCCACGCAGCAGGGAGGGGGAGCTTGCGCTATCAGGCAAGGGCAGCTGTCCCGCACCCCAAGCCTCTGCGAGCACACGCTGCCCTGCCCTGCCCTGTGGGCACGCTGGTGGAGGGAGGGCCAGCAGGCAGAGGACCTGTCTGTCCCGCGTGGCCAGCTCCACTTCTGCCTCTGGGGGTCTGTGCCCTGCCCAGACATCAGGGGTGCAGTGCTGGCAGCTCACTCCCTGCCCTCCCTGCCCTGGCATCCGGCCTCCCCAGCTGGGCTTGTGCACAGCCTGGGCATCAGAGACAGGCCACCTCCTCTCACTTCCTTGCCCGCCTACCCTGCTTAGCCTTCAAGGCTGGGCCAGACCACCTCCTCCAGGAAGCCAGGCTCAAAAGCGGCCGGCAGGGAAGCGGCAGCCTGCACAGCAGGGTGCGGAAATCGGAGGGCTCAGGGGAACCAGAAAAACGTCCTGGCGAGTTCCAAGGTGACTCACAGGGCAGGGCGTCCTCAGCTCCCACTGCCTGAAACCTGCTGGCACAGCCCCACCCACCATCCTCCCCTCCATACGTTCCATGCATGCTGTTAGCACGGCCAGGAGTGTGGGGTAGGTCTGGAGGCTAGGGCAGTGGACAGCTCCCAATCCCTGCTCAGCCCCAGAGAGACCTGAGACCTCTCTGTCCCAGTAGGTCCCCAGGAACCCGGAGGAGGGTGTGCAGGATGGGGGTGAGCAACACTGCCGTTCTACCAGGGGCTCCCCAAGGCCCCGCGATCAGAAGAGGAGGCATTGGACAGAGACCACCCTGCTTTATTGCCCGGCTGCGAGCGAACCGGCCAGCACCTAGGCGTCCACTCCAAGGCAGTCTTCCCAGTGGCGGGTGCCCGAGGCCCAGGCCGGGCCGGGCTAGGAGACTACGCAGCAGCAGCGGCTGTGGCAGCGGCAGAAGCGGGGACAGTGGCAGCAGGAGCAGCAAGGGCAGCAGCAGCAGTGGTGAGCGATGTCGTCGCCACGCCCCACGGGCGGCAGGCCTGCGTAGGTCAGTCCTGCTGGCCGCTGCGCTCCACCATAGGGGCTGCGGGGCTGCTGCCAGGTCTGCTGGCTCTGGGTGGGGGTGGCTGCCTCGGCCCCTGAGGTGCCCTTGGGCCCCAGGAGCTCAGCGGGCTGCAGGAGGCGGGCTGGCTCAGGGGCACAGGGCTCCCCAGGCAGAGGTTGTGAGCTAGGGGAGGAGGAGGAGGGGACCGCCTCTAAGTGCTGTCCCAGGTCCGGCCGCAGGTGAGCCCGGGGGATGCTGAGGTGGGCATAAGGGTTCTTGATGGCTGCCTCATGTGGGTCCATGGCCTAGCCTGAGGGAGGGCAGAGAAGATACAGCTCAGTGGAGGGGTCAGCCGCCCCGATGGCCAGGAAGCAGTCCCAGGAAGAGCTGTCCTGCCCAGGGTGGCATCCCAGGGTGACGGTGCTCATGGGCGCAGAGTGGCCGCGGCGTGTGAGAGGCCCATGCATGGTGGGAGGCCAAGGGTGGGCAGGAGCTGGGGCCAGGGTCTCCCAGGTGGCTCCACTCCTGGGAAGGAATTGGGAGACGGGGAGGTGGCTAAGCGGGTGGGGGCCCTGGGCATCTGTGCAGGGTGCCTACGAGGACTCACCTGCAGTTGTGGCAGGGCCCGCCCGGGCCCACTTCTCTAAGACAAGCACACGCTGTCTCAGCCTGTCCTCCTTCCTCTGGGCTTCAGGTCCCCAAGCCTGAGTTGAGCCATACAGTCGCTTTTTCCCTCCTGGGGAGGGGTGGGGCCAGGGGCGGGACCCAAAGATGAGGTTCCCATGATGTTGAGGCCCTAGCACTGGCCACCCCTCATTCCGGCCTGGGCTCCCAAAGCACTGCCGAGACCGGGTGACTCAGTCACCACGCATCCAGCACATCCTGGGCCCTCCAGGGCGGAGGGGGCAGGAGGTGCTACTGAGGTCACAGCCCCAAGGCCCGGAGCGGGGTCAGGAGCTTGCAGGTGGTCAGGGGTCTCGCTTACCCCAACCCCTGCTGGGGCAGTCCTCATGCCCCTCCTCCCCCAGAGACCAAGAAGTCCCAGCCCAGAGGCCTTGGAAGGTTTCCTACTTTTTGGCTGATGGAAAGTGTTTGATGTACACCCCCATTAATCACGTTTAGGGGGACCAGCAGGTGTCATAACGGTTACGTCGCTGTACTTCCACTAGAGTCCCAGACCCCTGGCTTAAAACTCATGCTGGGCGCACGCATGCCCAAGATCCTGAGAGGAGAATGGAGAAGGGATTGTGGCGTGGCCATCCCTTTGGGGGGGTGATTTCTCATTTTCTGTCTGTCTTCCTGACGAGTGCACAGCGCCCGACACCAAACATATCTCTAAAAATAAATACATTACTACCGGTGACCTGGGCTCAGACGCAAGAGCGACTTTCAGCTCGTTTCTGATGGCGCAGCTCCGGCCAGTTGGGAGGCCGGCGGCCCGCACCGCCACGCCCCCTTTCCTGGCCTCTAGGGAGGCACGCAGAAGCGCCGTGCAGTCCGGGTGTGACCAAGGTGTCCGGCCCGGCATGCCCGCTCCCTCCCGCGCCGCTCGGGTGCCCGCCTGGACCCTGCACCCAGGCCTCGGTCTCCGGGAGAGACATCGGAAAGGCCGGGTCAAGTAAGATGTAGTCGGGAGGGAGCAGTCAGACAGGTCCGGACACGCTTTCCGGCAGCCCGGCATCAGGTGCGGGGCGACTCGGGGTCCACGGTTTCGGCGGGAGCCATCCAGAGCCCAGTGCGCAGGCGCCGGAAGCCCCGCCCACCGCAGCGAGTGGGCGCCTGGTGCATGCGCGAGACAGGCCAGTGGTGGTGGTGGAAACTATTACCCAGAAACCTCCGCGCCCTAGGGTTTTCCAAAAGACCCGGTTCGGTCGCCCCAGCTCTGAACGGTGGGGCCGGAGAGGCCTGACTTAGGCGGGCTCCACCGCCTGGGGGCGGGGCCTGCGTCTCGGGGGCGGGGCTTACGGGCGGGGCGGGGCGGGGCCTGCTGCTTGTTCCCCTTTGGGTGCGCCGCGGGTGGGTGAGCAGAGCCCACGGTGCAAGGTGTGCTGAGTTCTCGCCTGACCGAGGCGGCCTCAGTTGCCACGGAGCCGTGCCAGAGTCAATTTCTCTTGCCGAGCGAGCCCAGGCTTTAGCAGTGGGCAAAGCTGGGCCCTAAGGCTGGGGACCTCCTCCAGTCCCCTCTGCCCACATATGCCTCTCGCCAGAGCGCGGAGCACCGTCCGCTCTGAGCTCTGCACCTCGCAAGACCGGGGCTCGGCCTACACTCCGCACCTGGCCTGGACAGAGGAGAGCGGGGGCTGTGACCTAAGGGGGCTGAAACTGTCCAAGCCAGGTGCAGGTGCCAGAGCCGGTCACAGGAGTGGCAGCATGCTCCATGGCGAACGTGGCAGGGCAGCGGGCGGCACTCTGCGGGCCCCAAATCCCTGGTTTCCTGCCCGGCCCTCCCTAGCTTGTCCTGGGTTCTCCCTTTACCTAAGAGCTCCCACCTCAGGGTGGGTCCCCGAGGGCAGGGAGCAAGCAGGAAGGAATGGGGCTCTACTGGGTCGGTGCTGACCCGACCAGATGCCGGGACCACCCCACCCTGGGGAGGAACCTTCCTCTGCCGCTCCTCCGCCCTGTGCCGGACCGCCGCCTGTCCAGCTGTCCGGTCTTCCGCACACCCGCCCCACCTGCCTGTCCAGCCTTCTGACCCTGAACTCCCCTCATGGGCGATGTCGCTCATCCACCGCCCACTCATCCTCACATCGCCCTGCTAGTGCTGGGTGCACCCTGGGTCACTGCAGACAGGGGGCAGGCTCTCCGAAGCACACTGCCACACACAGGTTGGGTTCCTGGGGACCACCTCTCAGGTCCCCTCCCTCCCCGTCCAGCATTATGACACTTCACAACGCGAAGGCGGAAAACAGCATAATTTTCTTCCAAAGTTGGGGAGGGGTTCACCAGGATCCAGGGTCAGCCAGGAGAGGAGGATCCTGACTCACACGCAGTCCAGGAAGGAGGGCGACCCCAGAAGGGGCGCCGTGCTCGGGGCGGATCGAGGGGCGGCCGAGAGACTGGCCCCGCCCCGCGGACC